GCTTTTGCTTTTGCTTTTGCTTTTTTGTACCCTTTCTGAAATTTAAAAAAAAAAAAAGTACCCGGGCGTGAAAATTTTTAGAATTTTGCCCTTTTTGAAGTTCAAAATCCGTGTGGTTCCTCAATGCAATTTTGATGATCATTTAGCTTTTTGACGGGAGTTTGAATGCGCGAAAACATGAGCTCAAAAAATGGCGTCATCGTCGTTGGGTAAGAGCGTAACATTAGCTTTATTTTTCTATAAATAGGAAGTAAAAACTCTTTTAAGAGTCGACAGTGACCATATTATCCTCGCGTTAGAGTCAACTAAAAGTCTACTTTCTGTCAGGCCAAGGATTTTAATTTACTTAGTACTTTAATCTCCAGGACATTGTTTTATTTGAATCCTTTCACTGGGTTTCCACAAGATATTCTGAGGTTTTTAGAAACGCACTTCGAAAGCGTCAAATGTGTTTCCCATGACCGGATGCCAAAGTGAAAGTGAAAACGAGTCAGCTGTCACATAGTACAGCAGGCTCAGCTTCTTACCCAACTATCACGTGACTTTCATGTAAACTCAAAATTATATGAGAATAATATAAACCAGCAAAGCACTCATTACAATGACTTAAAAGACTAGCGATGGCAGGCAGAAAGGTTAGTTTACTACCTCATACTAGTGTTCTAGCCATTGACAACGAGATCGGTGATGTTAAGCCTTATTATTTTATCAGGTTCGTGTTTTGTACGACTTCGATGGAGATCCAGCTTCGGGAGAATTGATTATCTCGACGGATGAAGTCCTTTTGGTAACTAGTACGGTACGATGCTACAATCATTTTATTTATTGGGCTTTATCTCTTATTCTCCTTCACTGAACTCAGTTAATGATCTATGAATTTTCTCGTAGGATGTTGGAGAAGGCTGGTGGGAAGGAACAAATAGTAGCGGCACAAGAGGGCTCTTCCCTCAAGCCTATGTCGAGGTGAATAACACTTCATAAACTTTATAATTTGCAAATATTTTCAATTCATCGAAATATTAAAAAATATCAATTTTTTTCTCTTTACCTGGGTGTATATTTTTGTATACTTTACAATTCGGGATTTCGCGATTTACTCAACTTTGAATTTTGTTTTGAAGTTAATGAACTTCGATTAGGCAAAATTTAATGTATTCAAACAGCCAGATATTTTTATTACTTGTGTCTATTTAAAGCGATGAACCAATCCTTCACAGTAAGTTTACCTTACTTTCATTTTCCTTAAAGCAGGATCGCTTGTCTCCAAGTGTTTTTATGTATTCACTTAATTCAAGATGGAATTCTTTATTTAAGAAAAGCTTGCTATAAGCTTCTATTAGTTACGAATCGAAAATACATAAATATATTAATATAATGATAACTAGAACTAATCATTGTTCAAGGGACATCGTTGTTTAAACCATTTATTCATTGAACTAACCGCAAAAACATGTGATTATTACTCTTAGTTTATAATATGCTTGATCTTAAGGCTTTACGAGACTTTTATCTTTAAGTTTTTTCAAATTATACTTCTTATAAAAATAACAATTAAGATCTAGGATGGTCGTTAGAGTAGTTTTTCCCCCCAAGGTTTTTTACCATATAAGTCCTTCCATTTTGTACTCCAGCTATCATGCGAAGGTGTTATTTTATCTTGTGGTGGTTTAAGTACCTTTACTTTGTTTATATCCGTTTTGTAAGTTCCTGCAAATATATCCAGAATGGACTTTGTAAAAAATTTGTCAATAACAAACCTTTGAGTTAGACAATCTTTTATTTCAACGCTTTTGTTTGAAGATTATCATTTTATATTTAAATACTTTATTTTATTTTAAAGCTAGATGATTTTGTGCCGCACATACAGGATAATATGTTAATGATAGATGGTAATTATATAGGTGACGCAGTTTAATCACTGGAAATTCAATCCATCAAGCTTTTAGGATGGTATATATTAGATATAGCCATATATAGGCATTTGGCTAAAATCTGTAATATGACATCCTGTTAAGAAGAATTGTAATTATCACCATAACAACCATCATTCTATTAATTAAACTACAGATTAAACTTAATTATCTAACATTTGCAGTGAAATCAACCAAACCATGAACAATTTGAGTTTTTTATTTCCAGGTTCCTATATTCCCTAAAATTTATATAGTCTCAAACTCTCTAAAATGAAGCATTGCAGGAGTTCAAATACATTGAGAGTACAAATACAAACTTGGAGGGTTTAGAGTTCAAGTGGTGTGCTTGCTTTATCATCAAATAATTGAATAGATATATTTTTTAACAGACATACACCAAATCCAAATATCCTGACCAATTTGAATACATATTGTTGACTGCAATGACTATAGCAGCTAATTACCACCCTTGTATTCATGTGGAAACAAAAGTGTTTTCACATGTAAGAGAGGCTAGTCAGTCGCTAGTCAGTGCAGAACAATAGTTATTCCAATTTGGTCGCCATGCATATTCCGATTTGATGTACATAACACATGATTGTTAAAACCACATTTTAATAACCTTACAATTAATTACCTAATTATACAGCTTCTCATTAATCCCATATAGTTAACTGTCCAATTATTTTCTTAATTGGACAGGTCTTGTTGATATGGGAGTAATTAAGCAGCTATATAATTATAGGTAATGGGATTTCATGCTCCCCAATCAAGAAATAATTAGACTCGAAAAATTCCTCTGACTGCCAAATTGGACTCGGCCTACAGCCTCATCTAATTTTGGAAGTCCTTGGAATTTTCCTCGTCCAATTATTTCTTACTTGGACAGCACGGAGTCCTATCACATATACAAATCAAAAATATTAAAATACAGAACTTTTATATGTTTGTATGTAGTGTAATATGGCAGCTGTCATTCATGTTGGTCTATCATGATTGGTCAATTTTGTAAGATTGATCCCAGTTAGGATAAATACTAAGTATTTTTTTTACATCTATTTTATATATTTATCCAACCAAAATAATAAAACTCACACTTAAGAAAAAGGATTAGATTGATAAACAAATGTTCAACATGGTTGTAATCTGTGCTTATTCTGCACTATGAAAATAAATACCTATATAGTTATTAGAATGTATATGTAGTGTGCTATGGGTCTTTTAGTAAACATACCATTGTAGTATGTACTACCAGTGTGCTATGGGTCTTTTAGTAAACATACCATTGTACTATGTACTACCAGTGTGCTATGGGTCTTTTAGTGAACATACCATTGTACTATGTACTACCAATGTGCTATGGGTCTTTTAGTGAACATACCATTGTACAGTACCTTAGAGTGAAGGCTTTTAACCCGTGAAATAAAAAATACTAGTCAACATGTAATATTCAAATAGACACAATAGAAAGCAATGGAATTAGGGTCTAGTAATGTGTATTAGTCTAATATCTATTTCACAGGTTTAATAACTTCACTCTAATAACTAATAAATAAATGTCTTTATTTAAATATGTTATTTGTTTATATGTTATTTAGTTTTTAGAAGATGGTCCTCCACCTCCCCCTACGATGATGCACCCGCCCGTGATGCCAGCCCTAGTACCATCAGCACCATCAGCTCCGGCAGCACAGAATTACCATACAAGCTCCCCTGAAAACGACGACGGGGAGGGGTGGGATGATGACTGGGATGAAGATACTGGCAGCAGCTATAGTGGTGGAGACTCGCAAGTTTCATCCATGCCGAGGAGAGATACTGCATCATCCATTCAGCGCACTGGGACTGTAAGAAAAAGTATAAATAGGTAAGAAATACTTTTTCTACTAGTTCTAATACTGTGCACTGTAGTTCTATTTTTATGACATTATCAGACGGCAAGATCACCATTGTATGACTGACTAATGGTATCCACTACAGCTGTAGCAACATAGGGAACACAACCAAATAGATTTATTATAAAATACAGTATGATAATGTAATCAAACCGTGACTCCTTTGAAGTTTGATTGACTGGGACAAATGATTTTTGGCTCAATGCAAAAATGCATTTGCATTTGCATTTGCCCCAGTACATTGTTGACAGTTTATTTTTTTTTTTGTAAAACAATCAGAATTTTATCTTAGTGTGAATACAATTTATATTACTGCATGTTAAAATAACCAGCCTGGGCAGATCCAGTAATCTAAGAGGAGGGGGGAGGGGGGGGGGAATTGGCATTAAATGAATCTCATGACTGACTATAGATGCAGATTGAAGTCAAAAGAGTTCTTGAGACATTCTCCCAGGAAAACTCTTAACATATGATCCCCAGAAAGAGCAGAAATGCATTCTGGGATATTCTGGACCGAAACAAAAATAGATTAACTTATAAAATGAATCCCAAACTAAAAGAGGGGTTTGCCACCCCACTCTTCCCCTCCCCCATTATTTCACACGATAACACATTCTGATTCAGGTTATTTTTTTATCCTTAAGATTTTCAGTGTTTGTCAAGTCTGGAGGAGAGGCTTACTTGCTGGGAACATCAAATGATAAAGCACACAGCTGTCCAGCAGGTGAAAGAGTCACAATTAGATCTCTTGTAAGTACTGTAATTCACAAAATATAGTATATTGTAAAACTAGAGTAATGTTTTTCAAAGTCATTCTTGGAGATTCCTGCTACCTGCACACTCATATTGAATGGAATATAATGCAAGTTAGTAAACCTATAGATCAAGAAGATGTTGTCCTTGTTGAATGTTTTGGTTCAGTTTGATTTGTTCAAGCCAATGGTAAATCATGAAAGGGAAAATTAATACAATAAGCAAAAATGAAAGGAAAGGAAAACAGTCTCCATACCGAACGTTTAACCCAAAACCATGGTGAGGAAAAGGCAGGACACTCACCACCTCTGCTCCACTCTTTCCTACCCAGCCCCCTTTCTTTGTAAGAGTTTAGATGAAAATGTTACTACTGATCTCACCAAACTGTGGCAACATGTCATTTGTCTTGCTACCTCACCCTAATTCGTCTACTGTCACGCCTACTTTTGTTACGTGTATTACAGTGAATACCTTACTGGCAATGTGCTAGATCTGAGAGTGACAAAAGTAGGCGTGTCAGTGAACGAATTAGGATGTGGTAGCGAGACAAATTTTTGACGTGTCATCACAGTTCAGTGAGGTCTGTAGTATGGCTGGAATTGTGTTTGTTTAATCCCATGTTGATGCATCCAGTGGAAATGAAAAAAGAAAAAAGTGGAATTTTACCTCCCTTGCAGACCATATAGACATTACATTCTGCATTTTTTTCACTGCCTTACCTAGTATTTCACTTCCCATTTTGCTTACACCCAGTTGCTTCAATACATTTTTTGAGGGACCAGGTTTTTTGCTATGGCTGTAAATGGCAGCAATGTTTTCTGAAATCATAATAAAACCCATTGTCTATGTCTGGGTAAACCCATCCAAAAATGCTTGCTTGCAAGAAGACTATTAGCAGAATAAAATATCCATTGTTCCAGCCAAGATGGCTGCATCGAGGCCCATTTATGATGTCTAGACAAATTTTTATACGTGAAATTAAAAATACCTACATGTATCCTCCTGGCACCTTATGGTACATACACAGGGCCTTTGAAATTAAATATGGTTACTAGTAAGTGAATTGGGTGAATGCCAGGCCAGCAGTACCACTAAGGCTGTTGCTGCACTGTATGCACCTCATAATACAAAGAAATTAGAATCTGTGTGTATATTCCTGAAGTTTAGAAATGTGACATACAGCTGTAAATAAGTAATATAAATAGCTGTTGTTGTTTTCTGTAGGATGGTGTAGGGTCAGCATCCATGACGTGGCAGCTGAGTGCAGAACCATTCACTGCTTTGGTGACAGAACCAGAAAAAAAGAGCAAGTTTAAAGGAATGAAGAGTTTTATTGCTTACAATGTTGGCAAATCGGTAAGCTTCAGAAAATAATTTTTACAGCTATTTAAATGGTGGTTGTCTTGAATTGCCAGATTTCAATAAACACCATTTCTTTTTGTCACGTGTGGAATGTTCAGCAGCTGAATTGCATGTTTCCAATGAAATTCTGGCTGATAGCATGTGGTTGTCAGTGATTGACAACCGGTTAGCTCAGTTGGTAGGAGCGTCAGTCTGTTGTGAGGAAGGTCGTGGTCCAAGCCTCGGCCAGACCAACACTCAGGCTCTTAAAATAACTGAGGAGAAGGTGCTGCCTTTGTAATTATATCTGCAAATGGCTAGACCTTCAAGTCTTCTAGGACAAGGACTTAAAACCGTTGGCCCCGTCTGTTTTCACTGTATAACCCTGTATAAGGCAGACGTAAAAGATCCACTGAAGACGCTGGTGACGACCATCTTCAGTGCCCGTGCTAACCGGCTGCCTTATCAATTGGACCACAAGGCCTCTTAGGCTTCAAGCCGTACAGGAGTAGTAAATGCATTACAGTAGTAGTGAATTGTTGTTTCAATAAATGTGTTGTTTTTGGTTGTAGAATTCCAGTACAGTTGTGAGCAGAAGGTTCAAACACTTTGATTGGCTATTCAACCGACTTGTAGAAAAATACACCCTTATAGCCATCCCACCAATACCAGACAAACAGATTACAGGTACATCTATCTTGTATCC